CAAGTTTGTGGTTTATTAGAAAGATGGAGCAGTGGAGTGATCGACGATGAAAAATTTTCTAAAATAGCACAATTAGATAAAGTAAGTATTTTATTTTACCAATATACATTTATTACCTATGTAACTTTATCAAGGATATACATACATTGAATTTTTTTTTTTTTTTAAGGAATTTCGCACTCAAGTTTCGTTTTTGTTTCGGACACTTTCTGGTATTAATAAAACAGGAGAAGGATTTGGTGGATCTCCGAGGCATTTAGACCAATTACTGCTACGGATGGATTATAGCAAGTGGTTTTCAGTGTGGTCAGCATAATATGTAAATATATGCTGTATATACCTGTTATATTGAGGTGGCCGATCACTTAATAAAATCAAACATGTCTAGTCTCATTTATTTTTGTATAATGATAGATTTTTTGATCAAAAAATTATTGTCATAATTTTTATAATAAAAGAATAGTAAAAATATTTTTTGTTATTTCTCGTTTAATAATAATTTTCTTTTCTAATTTTAAAATCTTCCATCTTCCAATTTTTATTGCATTCTTAACAACTTTACGTTTTCAAATTTTGCATATCTAAAAATTTTCAATTAATGAATATATTTCAAAATTGGTATAATTAGACTCTGTATATCAATTTGAAATATATGCTTTATTTGAAAATTTTAATATGGTATGTAAAATTTGAAAACATAAAGTTATTAAGAATGCAATAAAGGTCGAAATATTTTAAAATTGGAAGAGAAAAATTATTATTAAGCGAGAAATAAAAAAAATATATTTTTACCGTTCTTTTATTATAAAAATTACGGTAATTTAATTTTTTAATCAAAAAATCTGCCATTATACAAAAATTAATGAGACTAGACATATACATATGTTTGATTCTATTAGGTGATCAACCACCCACTGTTATATGCTTTAATAAACAATTCTAAGCAATATCATAAGCCAATAGATCATCAGATCAAAATGTATATGTGTATATGGGCAATTAACAATTTTTTTTATAAATTTTATAATAAATCACAAGAATGATTCTAAATTGATTTATATAAAAAATTTTTTTTTAAAAAAAATCAATTCTCTGAAAAACTCTTTTATGTAACACTTAATTAACCATTCATTTCAAGTTTCATGTTTTGTAAATGATCTGATTAATGCAAAGTTCAATGGTACTGTATATTCTAAAATTAAAAATTGTTCTAGTGGTTACCAAATTCCATTAAACATAATAGACGGCACACACGAATTTTATTCCCGTTTGATTATGAGTAAATGCGAAGCAATCAGCTGAATCGTGAATGATACATATTGATTCTATAAAATGACGCGATGTAGATCAGAAAAATCAAGAAATTCGAAATTCAAAATAAATGAATGTCAAAATTGAGTGGCTTTTTTTTTTACCTTATCCTTCGAAGAACCGGTATAAAAGGGAGTGATAACTGACCTATCATCAATATCCAAATTTGATAAGTATCATCTTTGTTTCCACCAGATGACCACATATCGATCGGGATTCCAGTATAACGATAAATTCCATGGTATCACTTTATTTTATATTGTAACCCATATTCGCACATGACTTCTGTAAACTCACGTTTTAAAGGTGACAAGTTCGAGCTGTGTGACTTACTAGTGCGTGCAACAAAAATTTTACGAAATCAATAAAAATGTTACAGTAATACTGTCGTAATACCGTACGTACATGCTATAAAACAAAAACATTAAAAACTATTGAAGTTGTAAATCTACTGAGATATTATTCAGACAATGAACAATATAAAAAAAAAAGTTGTAAGTCGTTCTTAATTGCGTCCTGTTTGTTCAACTATCCCTCACGTACCCTTACCAGTTTACCTTTCGTACTCCATCCGTTCATTAGCTACGGAAAACGGGTGACTCAAATACTAGTAATGGTAAACCTGGTAGCGGTACAAATAAGCCTTCAACGAAGAATTCCGGAAACTCAACAGAACCTACTCCTGCCATAGTGGTTATAAATGTGGGGGAACAGGTTGGACCAGCTATATTTTATTTTATTAAGGTTCTTGACAACAGATATCAAAAAATTCGTGACTGATATATATATCTTTCTGGCTTAATCTGGTGTTTTTTTTTTATTTTTCTAGAGGGGGCATACCTCCTCAGATAGCACTTCGCCTATTTCTCCTGCAAATAACCATAAGTCTCATTCAAAAGAAGAGCCTCCCAAGAGGGACCCTTTGAATCGTTTAAAAGGTGCTCCAAAAGATGTTATTCCTCTAAGTAAAGTTCCGCGGCGTCAAAGGTCATCGAGATTTCATGCCTCAGGAGTAGTTGAATTGGAAAAATTACCTAATTTCAACGGTTAGTCTTAACAATTTACCCATTTTAAGAATTCTCATTTGTTAAGATAGCCATTGAATAATTATATTATAATATCAGAAGTTTCACCGGACAAAAGACAAGAACTTTTCCTAAGAAAACTTAATCAATGTTCGGTAATTTTCGATTTCAATGATGCAAGTAGTGACCTAAAAGGAAAAGAAATAAAAAGGGCAACATTGTCTGAGCTCTTGGAATATATTACTACAAATCGTGGAGTGATTACTGAGCCAATATATTCAGAGGTCGTTTCTATGGTTGGTTATAATTTATAAGTAATTTAGATAACTATATTTTTTCGTTTTAACTTGGTAGATAATAATACTTGGATAATAAATCTGCTCATGATTGGCTAGTTTGCTATTAATCTTTTTAGAACTATACCTCCACAAGTTAATCCAATTGGTGATGCTTTTGATCCTGAGGAGGATGAACCAGTTCTCGAACTTGCATGGCCACACCTTCAGATTGTTTATGAATTTTTCCTTCGATTCATTGAGTCGCCCGATTTCAATACAAATATTGCCAAGAAATATATCGATCAACAATTCATATTACATGTATGCAAGATTATTCAATTTTGGAACGTGTGATCATTCGTTTTCTCGAAAAAAAAAAGAAAGTCCTGAATTTTTTTTTCTTCCTCTTCTGCATTTTCTTTTGTCTTTTTTTCTTGTTATGTGTCTAGTTATTGGAATTATTTGACAGTGAAGATCCAAGAGAACGTGACTTTTTAAAGACTACATTACACCGAATTTATGGAAAATTTCTAAATTTACGCGCATTTATCCGAAAATCGATTAACAACGTGTTCTTCCAATTTATATATGAAACAGAACGTCATAATGGTATTGCTGAATTGTTAGAAATTCTTGGAAGGTAATACTTTCATAGGCGCCATATTTTTCAAATTATATTTAATCATTTATTTAACTAATCATCGTGTTGTTATCTTATAGTATTATCAATGGTTTTGCTTTACCATTAAAAACAGAACATAAAACATTCCTTACAAAAGTGTTGATACCTTTACATAAAGTCAAATCATTGACGTTGTATCATCCACAATTAGCTTATTGTGTTGTACAATTTCTAGAAAAAGACCCTTCGTTGACAGAAGAAGTATGTTCCATGCCCCCAAGTTTATATTTATATCAAAATTAAACATTTATTTAATACTTCTATAATATTAAAATGACCAGGTCATTTGTGGCTTATTAAGGTACTGGCCAAAAGTAAACAGTCCCAAAGAAGTAATGTTTTTGAATGAGATTGAGGAAATCTTAGATGTTATAGAACCACAGGAATTTGTAAAAGTTCAGGTACCACTATTTCAACAAATTGCAAGATGTGTATCAAGTCCACATTTTCAGGTATTAGTTCTTAATATTTTAAAAATTATTTGATGTAATAATCTAAATTAACAAATATGTTAATGATATATTAACGATATATAAAGGTTGCAGAAAGAGCTTTATATTATTGGAACAATGAGTATATTGTTAATTTGATAGGAGATAACGTAAACGTCATTTTGCCAGTAATGTTCCCACCTTTATACCAAAATTCTAAAGCTCATTGGAATCGGTAATAATATATATATTTTTACTACCACAAATGTTTGATTAATGTTATCCGATTATTAAATTTATTTTTATAATGCACATGTTACTTTGTAATATTAAAGAACGATCCATGGTTTGGTATATAATGCGCTAAAGCTATTCATGGAGATTAATCCAGCACTATTCGATGAATGTACGGCACAATACAAACAAAGCCGTCAAATGTGAGTATAGTTTGTTTATGATAAAGCATTTTATTAACCAAAATATTTAAATAAATGAATTTAACTATCTAACAGGGAAAAGAAACGAATGAGAGAAAGAGAGGAAACGTGGCATAGATTAGAAAGAACAGCTGCACATAATGCTCAAGGTCTTCCATTACCTTATTCAATTGGTGGTCCTTCAACATCTTCAAGAACTAATGTAGCCAGTGAGTTAGGTAATTTTCAACCGCCTTATATTTTCAAATTGATATTTTAGTCAGAATTGCTGATCTACAAACACCACTACTTACATACATCGGACTCTGAAAACTCTACAGTAGACAATAATTCAAGTGAGGATGAGCCCGTAGAAGAACCAAAAAGTGACGTACCAGAAGATAACGATGAACACGGGGAAATGGGGGAAATGGTTTGCTTCTTAAATTATATACTGTTTTTTTTTTCATTTTATGTTGTTCATTATATTGCATTTCATTTCAGAAACCATTTGAAGGACCCGGTGAATTCAATCAGTTTCGTCGTAAATCCATCATACCTGTTGATGAAACTGTGTTATCTGAACTATCTAGGCATCGTAGCTTGGAAGAAGTTCTTAACGGACCTCCTGACGGAAGCAACTCAAATACCCCTTAATTTTTTAGTTCGTTATAGATTTTTTTCCAAAAATTGCACTAGATGTAGATTTGAATGTATTGTAGGAAGGTTAATGGGATTGGCAAACATTTATTAGAACTATGGATTAGTTTTGTGTATTTTACTTTTTTTTTCTCCTTTTTTTTTTTTTTTTTTTTCTTTGTTTTTACATCATTTCACTCATTATGACAGTGATAGAACTAAAGGAAAAAAAAAAAAAAAAAAAAAAGTCGTAAGACAATAATTGTTTTCACTTTTTCTTTTCTTTTTTTTATTGTTTGATACCACTCAGACAAGTAGTTCTAATTCTCCATGTTTCTTGAAACCTAACGAGAACAACTCCTTTAAAATTAACAACAAATATATAATTGACAAAAAAAAAGGGATCATTGAAGACTTGTAATTCTGTAATACCGTTACATTTCAAATGTAAAAATATGGGCATCGGGTTTCAGCCGACTAGTCATAATCTCCAAAATATTAATACCTCCTTAATTTATGAATCCACGCTCGAACTATATCCTGTGACCAATAAACCAGGCAAGGTAATTGGAAGATATGAAGCTTTAGTCAATCTATTTAAATTAATTATATATTTATTAATAATAATAATAATAATAATAATAAAAAAAAAAAAAAAAAAGGTTGATATATGTATAATATTTTTGAAATATGTATATTTTGTATAAGAGAATAGTTATTTATTATAAAAAAAAACAAAGATTATGGTTAGCTAAAAAAAAACTATGCAATACACTGTAATTTAAAATTGTATTATGTATAATTAGAATTTTTTAAAAGACTAATACTGTATTTGCGAAAAAAAAAGATTTTTATATTATGTATAAAACTAATTTTTAGATACTGTAATACAGTATATTACAGTATATATATTGATTTTCATTATTGTGAATTTTTATAAAGATCAAATTTTGTATGTTTTATTTTAAAAAATAATGTAATTATATCAAGGTTGTAATTACATCAAAAGTAATTATAGCGAGGTTAGACTGTAATATCAAATTAAATACAATATATAGATTATATATATTTTTATATAACAAAAATAAAAAAAAATAAAAATTAATACAAATAAATTTGTTTATATTTTTGCACTTTTTTAGTTCTAATCTATTTTTTTAAAATACTAAAATATTTAAATAAAACTTTGTATAACTATATTTAAAAATAAGGATTACTTTTTTGCAAAATTGGTTTTTATAGTATAAAAAAAAAGTTTAGATTACTTATAAGCTAAAAATATATAAGTTTAGAAAAAAATTTTAATTAAAAAATTATTTACAAATTTTTAACAAACTTTATAAATATTAATTTTAAATATATATACTGTAGTTCTTAAAACAATGTTATATATCAGGAAATCTTTTAGAATAATAAATAATGTATAATAGCTAACAACTAATTAATTATTATTGATAAATTTAATTGATAATAATCAGTGAGGGTGTTTATAATCACTAAGTATCTTTATTAAAAATAATTGATAATGCTACTAATTATTTATTAACTAATAAATGATTATTATTAATAAATATAGAAATCGATAGTTATTAAGTCTATTAATAACAATTGATATTGATAGAAATCAATTAGTAATACTTCTGTTAATAGAAATTAATATAAGTAAAAATTGATTAGTAACACCCCTAACAATAAAAATTAATATAAATAGAAATCGATAATTAATAATTATCAATTTTTATCTATATTGATTTCCATTAGTAAGGGTGTTACTAATTGATTAGTAATTCTAGATAATAATTAATAGTTATCAGTTTAAAAAGTTTTCTAATATAGTTTATATAAAAAATTACAACTTTTATTATTAGGCTATGCAAAGTTAATCAATTGGTTTTTATAACCCGGCCGGGTCAAGATTTGGAAACTTCTAAAAAAAAATTTTATATGTTTTAATAACCGGGTGGGATTTAAAAAAAAATTTTTATAAAATTTTATACAATTTTATATATGAAATT